CCCCAAAACCCCAAAACCCCAAAACCCCAAAACCCCATGAGGATTTATTTAAAGGAAATTATCAATAATTAAAAATTACAAATTATGGAACACCTTCAAACATTGAAAGCACAGAGTTCATTCATGAAACTTGATTCTCTATCCCCTGCATAGTTTTAATACCTAAAAAATCAAACTATAATATAAAATCAATAGAATTAAAACAGCTTAACAATACATTAATAACACCATGGAAGTGTTGTCAGTTCTCCAAATAATAAAAGAATAAGCTATAAGTCATCGAGATCAGATTTAAAATCATCTTCCAGTACATCTATTCACATTACATAGTAAATTATTAGAAGTAAAAATAAGTATAGAAACATAAATCAGATTCATGAGGCGTATCAAATGGCTTCTAATCAAAAGAAATAGATGTTTAAGGGAATTAAATACATTAAGCTGGCCCCTGACACTCCAGATCAAGGAATGCTTTAAAAAATGAATAAACAGCCTCCTTAAAGTAAAAACTCCTTTAAGGAGGAGATTGTAGATTTTAGCAGTGCTCAAAGAGGAAGATCAGTGAGAATAAGTAAGTGTTATATTTAGAATTTACCAATTTTATAATATTTTCCCTATAATTAAACAGTATCTTTTAACTATCTATATATAACAGAAAATATTGAACATGGTAATCAGAGCATCTTACCACATTTAAAAGGAAGTGATACTAATATCAGGTTCACTGACTTGAAATCTATACCAGAAGCAGCTGAAATGAGAAATTTGCCATCTCAAAGCAATGAAGATCCCACACCGAAAACTATGAGATAGCCAAAAACCCATAGAAGAATAGCAAGTCTACTGAACACTCAGGTGGTTTAAAATTTTAATTACTCAGAAAATATGCTCATTGAATCAGCAATAACTCATAATTTTCTTGATATGAAATATTATCTAATTTCTTTCAACAAGAATGTTGAAAAGAAAGCGTTAGTAAACTAAAAGGATGGGTTTGGAAGACCAGCAATATTCTATTCTTCTTATTTTAGTAAATAGCATAATTCTTACAATACTATTTATAGATGATTTAAAGCAAGTTGAATTACTTCTACAGAGTGGCTATGATCTAAATGTCACTGATAAATATAAGAGAAATCTTATTCATTATATTGCAATTCAAGGCTCAGCATAAATGTTCCAGATGGTGACAGAGTACTTGAAATATATCTCTGGATTGTAAAACTAACTCTAAGCCTAATAGAAAAACTTATCATCCTCAATTCTATAAAGGATGAATACTGAAAAGTAAAATCAAATGGCATAAAGTTTTGGCAGGAATATATCTTTAAACTTTAGACTAAAATAAAATTTTACAGATGGTTAGGTCTCTCCAGCATTTTCTTAAGATAATAAAAATTTTGTTAACACAGAAAAATTAATATAGCTCAGCTCAGAAATAGAAAAATGCTTCGTGATTGAATCAGATGTCTTCAGAAAAATAAGAAAGTAAGGCTATAACTAAGCTTATTCAGCAATGAAAGACGATCCATCTAATATGAATAGTATTGCAAGCGAATAGCAGATCAATTCAAAAGATAATGCTAAACTGACAGCTAGGCCTCACAATCATTAGTTTAGTAATGAATTCTTAAGATATAAAAGATCTTCAGAATCAACAGGAGTATTGAAGCATATCAACTCCTAAGATTTGAGAGGATTAACTCCACTACATATAGCAGTACTGAATAGAAATCTTGAAATAATTATTATCTTGGTCAATAATGGAGCTAATCTCTTTTTAGAAGATGGCAAAAGGAAAATAGCATTAGACTATATTAATCCTGCTTTTCAAAAAGATAATACAGACAAAAAGATGCTAGCTCTACTTCTTGAAAAAATGATAAGCTAGGAATGTGCTTACTATGAGCAATAATAATTAAAGAAAATTAGAATTGATAAGAATAATCGTCCAATGAGCTAATAAGAGCTTTTCTAACCATAGATTCAGCATAAAGGCAACAATTTGAAGCTTCATTTAAATGAAAAAATTTTAGCATCTTTTAGTAATCATTTGCTTGAGAAATTCACCTTTGGGTTCCATAGTGATAATGCCTTACTATACTGTATAAGGATTAATAATTTGGAATTTTTCAAGTACTTTGTGAGAAGAGGTGTAAGTTTATTAGTGACTGAGGCTCAAGGAAATAATACGCTTCATCAATGTGTCATGTTTGACAGGCTAGATTTTGTGAGATTCTTATTCTAAGACTATTCTTAAATTCTAGAGACTATTGAGGATGCAGATAAGATGCCAATTAGTGAGTAAAGTTCAATTATCTTATCTTCTCAAGCTTAAATCGCAAACAAATTGCAAAGAAACACAGAAAAATATCCTTGGGTGAATGACGCTCTAAAATGCATTGATAAGGCCACATTTAATGATGGTAGTACAGCTTTGCATAAGGTTTGTTAAATTGGAAATATTGAACTCCTCAATTTTCTAATTTAAATCGTACGCTAAAGAGAACAATTTAAACCAGATCTACTTAAACTCAAGGATGTGATAGAATTTACTAATAATGACAATTAAACTCCATTATTTGTTGCTGCTAAGTATAATAATCTAAACTGCGTTAACTTTTTATTTGAGAATGGTGCAAATTTATATGCTATTGATAACAAAATGGAAAATATACTTCATAATGCAATTCATAATGAAAATGAGGAGTTGATTAAGTTCCTAGTTAAAAAGGATGAAAAATTCCTACTAAGAAGAGAAAAAAATATTTATGATAAAATACCTATTGATCTTGAAAAAGCACAGTAATTTATGACTTGGTTATACACCATATGGGATGCTGTTGAAGGAGGTATTATTAATCTTGTTGCTAGTTATGTCAAATCAAAGGATTATGAAGTTAACTAGAAGAGACCAGGTGATCAAAAGACCCCTCTTCATTTGGCAATTATAGGTCTAAAATTCGATATGATAAAAATACTAATATAGCTTGGTGCAGATCCTCTGATAAAAGATATGACTGGATAAAATGCTATGGATTATCTGCCTTAGAAGAATGACTAGAATATCAAAAACATAAGAAGACTGCTTAATAGAAAAATGTCCAAAGCTATTTGGCCTTCTGAGATAGAAGGAGGAGGACATATTAATTAAAATGATTTTAACTATAAGATTTCATCCGATGACTAATATAGATCTGTAAATAGTGATAATGCTTCTAATAGTAATAATCAGCATTAAGATGTCAAGAGTTAATATTCAATACCAAAAGTATAGATTATTAAAAGCAATGAAAGCTTAAGCGAAAATCAAAATATCGAGGAATAAGAGAGACTTTTATCAAATCAAGGAATAGGAATTGATTAGTTAGATAAAAAAGAAAAGTTGGCTATTAGTATACCATAATAGCAAGATATTCCAGTAATTAAAGAAGATCAATAAGAGAGTAGTCCATTAAGAAGGTCTTCAAGCCAAATAAATGTCGATCCTGAAGAACTTCTTTTCACACCATCACAAAAAAATCGAAGAAAGACGTAAAAGTAACTGACTTCTAAGTTTAAAAAGAGTAGTCCTTCCAGCAGACGAGGCTCAACTAATTCTAACTTATTTGCACTTATTGATGTTCTCAATAATGGATTTGTGTCCTCTGAATAATTCTTGGAATAGCTCAAAGCATAAAGGCATGACTTTGAGGGAAGAGTCAAATTATCATTAATGATTTAACATGTTGATGAGTCAATGAAGAACTGTATAATTACAGACGAAGTATTTAAGACATTATTGAGATAGTTTGCCAAAATATAGCCTTGAAATTTATTAATACACCAATGAGAAGAATTTAAGCAGAGATTAAAACATAAAATTTTATTTATGCTTTTGAGTTATTTGATAAAGTCTTTTGGGGTTTTGGGGTTTTGGGGAGATC